CAGGTGAGCGGGGCAGCTGAAGGGAGGGACGGGGCAGCCGGGGGGCTGGGGCCAGGTGAGCGGGGCAGCCGGGGGGAGGGGTGGGACAGCCGTGGGGCTGGGGCCAGGTGAGCAGGACAGCCGTGGGGCTGGGGCCAGGTGAGCGGGGCAGCCGGGGAGGGGGGCGGGGCTGGGCTGGTCCCTGGGGCTGCGGGCTGGGCTGTGAGCTGCAGGGAATGGGGTCCCCACAGAACTAATCCCCAGCCAGCCCCCCCCCCCACAACCCGCCACTGCTGCCCTGCCCCAGGCCTGACCTCTCACCCCATGCTCTGAGCCCCTCCCCCACCCTGCCCCCCGCTGACCCCGTTCTCCCCCCAGGGCCGGGCCATGCTGCTGCTCCTGGACTGCGAGACGCTGCGGCTGGTGGAGCCAGTCGAGCGGACGCTGCTGCACGCCCAGCCCGTGGCCAGCATCCGTGTGTGGGGCGTGGGCCGGGACGACGGCAGGTAGGGGGCTCTGGGGAGCTGGATGAGCCCTGCAGGGTGCGGCGCAGGGACCACCACAAGGGAGCGCCGCGGGGCCCTGGGGGGCCTGGGGCTGTAGGCAGGGCAGGGTCCAGCTTGGGGGCCCCCTTGCCCAGCCACCCTAACGCTCCGGGACACGGAGTTATACGGTACCGTCCCCCGTGTGCAATGATGCTGCCTTTGGTGGGACACTTCTGAGCGTGCCAATGCAGGACCAATCGCTCAGAGCAGGGCAGTCAGCCCCAGGCTGGGGTCCTTTGCACACCCAGGCACCAAACCAGCCAGACCAGAGAGGACGTCGGTCTCACCCCACTGGCTAACCACAAGTCACACAAGCAATTCCCTTAGACACTCCAGTTTCCCAGTATCACCACCAGTGCCACTCGTTATGGGGACAAATGATTATGAAAACCAAGACCCCAGTAAAAGAAACAGGTTCTCCTGATCCCAAAGGACCAAGCCCCAGACCCAGGTCAATATGCAAATCAGATCTTACCCACAAATCACGCTGTTGCCAATCCTTCAGAATCTAAAATCTAAAGGTTTATTCATAAAGGGGAAAAGATAGAAATGAGAGCTAGAATGGGTTAATTGGAATCAATTACATACAGTAATGGCACAGTTCTTCGTTCAGGCTTGCAGCAGTGATAGAATAAACTGCAGGTTCAAATCAAGTCTCTGGAACATCCCCAGCTGGGATGGGTCCTCAGTCCTTTGTTCAGAGCTTCCGTTTGTAGCAAAGTCCCTCCAGAGGTCAGAAGCAGGATTGAAGACAAGATGGAGATGAGGCATCCGCCTTTTATAGTCTTTTCCAGGTGTAAGAACACCTCTTTGTCCTTACTGTGGAAAATTACAGCAAAATGGAGTCTGGAGTGACATGGGCAAGTCCCTGCATACTTTGCTGAGTTACAAGGCGTATCTGCCTTCTCTCAATGGGTCCATTGTAGCTGATGGTCCTTAATGGGCCATCAAGCAGGCTAGGCAGAGCTAACACCAACTTGTCTGGGATGTCACCCAGACGCATAGCATAAGTTTGAAATACAGACCGTTTAGAGCCAATATTCATAACTTCAACTACAAAATTGACAGGTTTCAGACGCCCATATAGACAGCATAATTATAACCAGCAAACCATAACCTCAAAGTCCATTGTCAGTTCAGTGTTTCTTGACTGGGCACTTACTGAGAATAGCCCCTTCTCCAGAAACTGACCAAATGCTTCCCTGAGGCTACTTAGAATCAAACACATTGAGATACAAGTACAGAGCCAATATTCATAACTTCAACTACAAACATGATACACGCACACAGACAGCATCATCCTAACCTTTCCATAGACCCCTTACACAACAACATTTGTACAATATTTGCTGCAAATATACAACAGTGGTTGCAACAGTGACCTATATGGTTCCAGTTCATGTGAGTAACGTCACACCCCCAACGCAAAATTGATGCAGGAAGGGATGACACAAACATCACTGACTGCATCCTAAGAGCTCCCCATCCTGGGTTCTGTCTCACTACAGCTAGTATTGGGTTAGAAGCCATACCAGTGTATAACAGAAATGGTTTATCAAAATCGTGTTCAACAACATGATTGAATCTCTTTACAAACTCAAGGTAAAACTTAGTTAGAACAATAGTGGATTGGATCTGCTTTTGCAGCATGGTTCCTGTATGTCTTACGTGATCTTGCCATGAGCTAAAGGAAACAGCTACTTTATCCATACAAACTCTGGCAAATATTTGGAACCCAATTAACATTAAGTTAACGTAGATATTAGTGTTGTTCATAGTACAGGAATCTTGGCATTTAGCCATGAAAGCAATATGGTAGTGTGCCTCAGTTTCCCTTTTTATACAGCACATTAGGTCTGGAATGTCTTTTCCCCTCTGAAAAGGTCCAATACTATTTACAGGCACTAACTGTGAAACACCAGTATAACAAGGCCTTTTAACATAAAGTGTGTTCTCATGTGTTCCTTTTAACATATTCAAGGGATTTTCCAAAAGATTAGGCACATTGTACATTTTTACAGTTCTTGGTAATAGCAACACCTTAGTTACAAAAATCACCATTAGCAATAACAACAAATCCATTGCAAGTGTCCATCTACAATCATGTTTGTCATTCCACACCTTTGGCTCAATACCATTGGAGTTTGGGCACTTTAGGGTTAACCTGTGGCTTCCCTTTGCAAAATTAAGTTCTCTCTTCCCTCCTTGTCCTGAAGGATCAAACCCTGATTTCTCTTGATGATGGGGTGGGTTCTCTGTGCTAACAGCTATTAGCAAGTCTTTCTTTCCCCAGTCAGTCAGGTAATTTGCATCAACACAAACATTAGCTTTTAAATTCTTAGCTGCTACCAATTCCAAGGCTGGACTCTGTCTTACAGAGATACCACACAAATCCAAAGAGTCTGAGAGTGAGAGTTTGCTTGCTCTCCCCTGCATCCTCAAGCATTCGGCCATAAAACTGTTCTGCTTTGAAACACCAGTAACCAAATCTGTCCTCAGACCCTGAAGCACAGACTGCTCACTCAAAAGAATTAGCATGGAGACAGTCCTGTCCCAACACCATTGTCTTCACAACAAGCTGGCCACACACAGCCACTTGGTCATAGGGCTGTTCAACTTTCTTAACAGCTTTCACTCCATTTGAGACCTTCTCAAAGCTACCCACACTGGATCTTTCGAAAGGACAGTCAGTGGATCCATTCACAACAGAAAATTTCTGGCTGTTAGGAACTGAAACTTCCCTGATTAAAAGAACAGGAGTACTTGTGGCACCTTAGAGACTAACAAATTTATTAGAGCATAAGCTTTCGTGGGCTACAACCCACTTCTTCGGATGCATATTCATCCCTGATTAAATTACTTTTATACCCTTCAGTTGCAGTAAACTGCTTGCACAGATTACCGTGAGGATTCCTTCCCTCAGACACTTCATTCACAGACCAACCCTCCCCAGGCAAATCATTGCCCATAACAGACACAGGTTCAAGATCATTCCTGTCCTGTGACTGGCTCTGGCTACCTGGACTGAACAAAGCTTTAACGTCTTCCCCAATCAAAAGTTCTTTAGGCAATAACTTCCTTGTGTAACCCTTCTGCCCATCTGAGTTGGCAGCAACAAGGGCCGGGTTCAGTATCTAGGGGTTCCATTTCCATAACGCAATGCAAAGCCCGCTCGAGCCCCCACCCAGTGACCTGGGACAATTTCATCCCCCACCCCCCCCCCGGGCACCTCTAGGAGGCAATACTTCCCCTCTCGCAAGCACGGAGTCTGAGTGTAGCAGAAAATGTTTAATAACATGAGGTAAACGACATCAGCATTAAATTGGGAAAACACCAAACAGGATTCATAACACAAACCATGAGCAAAAGACCCACCCCCAAAGTCCCAAAAGTCCAACACCCCAAAAGTCTCTTGAGTCCAGCAACCCAAGAATCACCCAAAAGTCTCTGTCCCTGGTCACTGCAGCCCCAGAGTTCAAAAGTTTATCTGCAGAGTCTTACCCCCCCACCCCAGCCTGGGTGGAAATGGGGGGGAGAAGAAAGGGGCACACGGGGTATTAAGGGGCACCTTACATGGTCCAAGGCCAACTGCCCCATCTCTCCATGGGGTTCTGCTGCAGCCTTCACCACCAGCCGCTCCGCTCCTCATCCCGTGGGCCACACCAACCATCCCGCAAACTGCTCCGCTCTCCCAGCCACTTAGCAACAAATCTTCAGGCTCCCCCCAGTTAACACAGCACTCAGTGATTTCAGCTTGTAGCAGGGGAGCCCCAGCGCTGGTGCACCATTGGCCCAAAGTGAATTCAGCTCACCAGCCTGTAACTAGAAACTAGACTCCTAAGGGAATCAAAATTAGCTCTGACATTCAACAGTGGAGAAAGGAGCAGTTCATGCTCCAAGTCCCCAAATGAGCCCATGCCATCCACTACAAATACCTGTCCCCAGCCTCTCTCAATTCACTGGGTTTTGGAACCCATGTCCCTTGTCTAGTGAGTGCTACTTAGTTGATGGTGAGACCCTCTGTCATAAAACAGTTCCACTGGCCTTGATTCACATAATCAGGGTAACAACACTTTATTCTTCCTGCCCCAATAACAGAGAAACTGGGGATCCCACAGCAGCCAAAGTGACCATTTTGGGCTGCCATGGGCTCATGCTAGGCGGGGTGGGTGTGCCTATGCAAACAAGATCAGCCCCTGAGGTTCTTTTCCACAACTCGCCACAATTCACCACCAGATGTCAAGGTAGAGCTCATCCTGACTCTGCTTACACTTACCCCAGCTATAACTTCATGCTTAGCACCATTCCATTCAAGGCGGATTCTGGCTAAAGGCACACGTACAGTAAACTCATAGAGGACTACGACATTCACACTCTGATTTGGTAAATAATCTTCCTCTTTGACAAGATCTGCTTTAACAGGAGTGATGTTAGAAGCCATAATTTGCCCTAAACAGCTTTTACCATTGACTTTTACACTCTCTATGAATTTTCCATTACCACTCCCATACATAGCACTGGCACAAGTTATGGGGTCACCCTCTACTGAACTCACAGTAACAGCATTTACAGAAAAGGTGGCAGCGCTGGGGTACATTTGGTTACACCCAGACAACTGCTCAGAGTTACACAAAATACCAACATTGTTACAAACTGGGCAGATTCTGTGCCCATCTTTGCTGTTGAGAGGCACTGGCTTTCCAGGATGATACAGTTCCTCTAGTTCCTCTATTCTCTTGAGTTGGAGCTGAAGTTTTTCCACTTCTGCCTCAGCGTCTAGTTCCTGCCATCGAATTTCTGCCAGTCTCTGTTCATGCTCAAGTTGCACTTTACTTGCTGTGCCCCGCGCCCTGCCCTCCCTCGATCAGCGCATGCCACCCTCCTTGTCACGGAGTCCCAAGGCCATGCTCTGGAACTGCTCCCTACGAAGCCAGTCAGGACTCTGGGGGAGCCTCCTCTCTGTGAGCAGACTGTCGCCAGGGCAAGAAGCTTCCACAGCTTTCACCCTCCTGGGTCTGACCCCGGAGCATTCAGCCTCCCCTGCCCCTCCGTGCGCTTCCCACAGCGAGTCCGCACAGGTGGGGCTCCTGGGGAAGCCAGAGGACCCTGCACCCCAGCTCCACAGTCAGACGTGACTCTCGGCCAGCCAGGAACACCGAAGGTTTATTCGTTGACGGGAACACAGCGTAGGGCAGAGCTTGTAGGTACAGAAATCAGTGACTTTCAGCCAAGTCCAGCTTGTGGGGAGGGGAGCCCAGAGCCAGGGCTCTGCCTCCCCCTGCGCCCCAAGCCAGCTGAGACTGACTCGCTTCCAGCTGCCTGGCCCCTGCCCTGCCCGTTGCTCCTCCGGCCTTTGTCTCGCTTCCCGGCCAAGAGTCACCTGGTCGCATCCCCCTCCGGGGTCTCAGGTTACAAAGGGGCGGCCATAGCATCCGTGCAGGCAGCTGGAGTGACCCCCACAAAAGTCATACCTGCTTATTCCCATCACCCAGACACTGGTGCAGCACACAGGGAAACTGAGGCACACGCAGCATTCATGCAAAACAGTAAGACTCCCATAGGCTCATATACATCATAACAGGGAAAATCCCCAGTTTGTCACACTAGGTCACTCCAGTCCTCGGCTCTGGGAGCCAGCCTGACCCAGCTGTGCTGTGAGAACCCCCATTCCTGGGCTGTTCACGCACAGCCTCTGGCGTGTAAGCTACTGCCTGAATTGTGCAACCGAACGACACTAGCCAGTATCTCCAGTCCCAGACACAACCTTAGGAACCTCCGTCTTGCAGTGTCTGGTTATGCCCACTGGACGCTGCAAGTTTATATGAGTTTGTCAATTTAACAAAGAAATTGATTTGCACCAGGCTTGTTATTCCAAGGGGAGTCTCTGAGACGCTTCAAACGAAACGCACTGCTTCAGGTAGAATAAACAAACAGATTTATTAACTACAAAGACAGATTTTAAGTGATTATAAGTCAAAGCGCAACAAGTCAGATTTGGTCAAATGAAATAAAAGCAAAACGCATTCTAAGCTGCTCTTAACACTTTCAGTGCCCTCACAAACGTAGATGCTTCTCACCCCAGGCTGGCTGGTTGCCCTTCAGCCAGGCTCTCCCCTTTGATCAGCGCTTCAGTCGCTTGGTGGTGGTGTTGGTAGATGGAGGTGGTAAGGGAAGATCAACAGAACTGACCAAGGGAAGGGGGTGACTCCCTGGAGAGTCCAACAGACCCTTTGTTGCTGCCTAGCTCAGTGTCCTTTGTTCCTGTGAGGCTGGGCTGGGTCTGTCCCATACATGCCCTGATGAGATGTGAACTGCCCCTCTGCTCCTGGAGAGTTTTGCCTGGGCTTGTTTTAAGCCATGAGGATACATTTTCAGCCTCATAACTATAGACATGAAATTATAACCTATAACATTACTATAACAACAATGCTCAGGGCATCATGAGCCTTCCGCAGACACCCGACATGACAAACTTTGCATTGGACACCACACAGTCATTTTACAAGGATGAACATGGGAGTGCAGGGGGTTCCCCCGAGGTACAGAGCATCACACTCACATACAACATAACAGGAGAAAATCCCCACTATGTCAACCCCGCTGCCGGGGGACACTGGGCTCTGCACCCCACTGCCATCCCCATGGGGGGCCCCCCTTGGTCAGGGGAAACTGGCTCCAGACTCATTGCACATCTCAGCCACCACCTCTGTCTCGTCTGCCCCTGGGTGGACGGGACCTGGCTGGTGTGGCGCCCAGGGCTGGGGGGTCCCTGGATCCCCCCCGCCTCCCTGGATGGGTTGGTAGGAAGATGCTGCAGGGCTCGGTTTGGCAGGCAGGGTCAGAGATCATGACCTCCAGAACGTGACCCCCCTGCTCAGGCTGAGGGCTCAGCAGGGGGCTCTGACCCTTGGGGTCTCACCCGCAGGGACTTTGCGTACGTGGCCCGGGACCCGCTGACGCAGATGCTGAAATGCCACGTGTTCCGGTGCGAGACGCCAGCCAAGGGCATCGCCACCAGCCTGCAGGCTGTCTGCTCCCAGGTGAGACCCCCCCCGGGCCCTCCCGAACCTCCCCTGAACCTCCCCCCATCACCACCAGCCTGCAGCCCGTCTGCTCCCAGGTGGAGACCCCCCTGGACTCCCCTGAACCTCCCTGAACCTCCCCCCCATCACCACCAGCCTGCAGGCCGTCTGCTCCCAGGTGAGACCCCCCCCCGACCTCCCTGGGCCCCCCTGAACCTCTCCCTCCATCGCCCAGCCGGCGGGGGCCGGGCGCGGTGCAGTGCTGGGGGGGGTGGACATGGTGCTTGGGGGGCCGTACACGGTGCCGGGGGGGGTCGCGGTGCCGGGGGGGGCCGGATACGGTGCCGGGGGTGTCGCGGTGCCGGGGGGGGGCCGGACACGGTGCCGGGGGGGTCGCAGTGCCGAGGGGAGCCGGACACGGTGCCGGGGGGGG